AGAGAGAGAGAGAGAGAGAGAGAGAGAGAGAGATCTTACAATATAATATAAATTAATATAAAGTATAATATATTTTAACTAGCCCTTGGAAATTACACATAGCATAGCAATGATTGTGAGCATGGTGTAGCACTGGACAGTGTTTCATTCTGTTGTACATGGGGCTGCTATGAATTGGACGGCACCTAACAATAACAACTACAGGACTATTTCTCTCCTGAGAAGTATTCCCTTAATCAAAGGTCTCTATCCCATACATATTTTTCAACTTACTTTGCAATTGGCCTCCTATTAAGAGAAAGCAGAACTATGAAGGTTTAAGAGAATAAATAAATCACTAGAGAAACAATAAAAAAGAAAAAAGTATTTCTGAGGATTGAAATCTTTAATTATAGCTTCAAAATCTGTAAGTAGTATTAGCTATCAGAGAAATGCAAAACAAAACCACAAAAGATACCACTTCACTCCACGATGGTTAACACTCTCGGTTGTTAACCGAAAGGTTGGAGATTTGTGTCCCAGATATACTCAACTTCCAAAAAATCACCCATTGAAAACTCTATGGAGCACAGTTCTACTGTGACACACATAGGGCAGCCATACATCAGAGTTGACTCTATGGAAACTGGTTTTTTCATACCTACAAGGACAGCTATAATTACAAAAACATATAATAACAAGTTAACAAGTGTTGACAAAGATGGAGAGAAATCAGAACCCTCATACACTGCTGGTGGGAATGTAAAATGGTGCAGCCACTTTGAATTCTGGCAGTTCCTCAAAAAATTAAACACAGATTTACCATGTGACCTAGAAATTCCACTGCCTGGTAATACCCAAGAGATATGAAAACATGCCTTCACAAAAACTTGTATACAAATGTTCATGGCAGCATTATTCATAATAGCCAAAAAATGGAAATAACCCAAATGTCCACTAACTCATGAATGGGACAGAGTAAAACTGCCCCCATAGGGTTTCTAAGGCTGTAAATCTTATAGGAGCAGACTGTCTCATCTCTCTACCACAGAGTGGCTGGTAGGTTTGAACAGGTGACCTTTTGGTTAATAGCCAAATGCTTTACCCACTGTACCACCAGAGCTCTTGAATGGATAAATAAAATGTGATATAGCTACACAAGGAAATATGTTATTTTTTAAATTGAGGTATATAAAATTCATATAAAAATCAACCATTTTTAACTGTACAACTTAATGCCATTTAGTGCATTCAACATGTGCAACCTCCACCTCTATTTACATTCCAGAAGAATATCCCATTTCCATTAAATAAGCATTCCCTATGCTTGGCACCAACAACAACATGCTTGGCACAGGAGCTCTGGTAGCATAGTGCCTAAGGCACTTGACTGCTAACCAGAAGGCTGGCGGTTCAAACCCACCAGCCACTCCTCAGAAGGAAGATGGGGCAATCTATTTCCATAGTGATACTGCCTCGGAAACCCAAGGAGGGGTCGCTATGAGTCGGGTCCCACTTGACAGCACATAACAACAACAACAACATGCTTGGCACAACTAATCTGCTTTTCCTTTCTATGGATTTGCCTAATCTAGATATTTCATATAAAAGGAATCATATTAGTGGGTGACCTTTTGTGTCTTCTTGTTGTTGTTATGTGCTGTCAAGATGTCTCCGACTCAATGTGATCTTATGTACAACAGAACGAAACATTGCCTGGTCCTGTGCCAGCCTCACGATCCCTACTATACCAGAGCCCATCGCTGCAATCACTTGTCAACCCATCTTGTTGAGGGCCTTCCCTCTTTCATTGACTCTCCACTTTACCAAGCATGACATCCTTCTCCAGAGAATGGTCCCTTCTGACAATATGAACAAAGTAGGTGAGACAAAGTCTGGCCATTCTTGCTTCCAAGGAGCATTCTGGCTGCACTTCTTCCAGGACAGATTTAGTCCTTTTAGCAGGCCATGGTATTCTCAGCATTCTTCACCAACACCACATCTCAAAAGTATCAACTCTTCTTCAGTCTTCCTTATTCATTATCCAGCTCTCACATGCATATGAGGCGATTGAAAATACCATGATTTGGGTTAGGCACACCTTAGGCTTCAGAGAGATATCTTGCTCTTCAGCACTTTAAAAAGGTCTTTTGCAACAGATTTCCTAATGCAGTATGTCTTTTGATGTCTTGACTGCTGCTCCCATTGGCATTGATTGTAGAACCAAGTAATATGAAGTCTTTGACAACTTTAATCTTTTCTCCATCTATCATGATGCTGCTCATTGGTTCAGTTGTGAGATTTTTGTTTTCTTTGTACTGAGG